GATGATTAAGTTCGCTGCCAATGACACTACCGTAGTCTGCTCACTGTTCGCTCACTCGCTTCATAACTGCGCATGGCTGAAACAATAATAAATGAATAATTCGCATTTTTCATCTTATGCAATTCAATACGATTCTTATTGATAACATATTTATCATTGGTAAATCATTCGCACACGTTATTAACGTTCTATGATAATATTGCGACGGTAATGAAGACATCACTCACAATCTATCAAATGTTATCATATATCAGCATTTAAACTAAATTCAAAGATTGGAACTTTCCACTCTCCACACTTCAGAAGAACATGGCCCTTTATTATCATTATATTATTACCCTTAATCTATGCAATCATCGACCTATCAAACAATATGAAAATAGTAGCCGTGACAAATTGGAAGATTATTTGAACTCGAAACATTAAAGCGCAGTGTTGAATCATATCAGAAAATACGTGAACCGACTAAAATCATGAATATCATATATAAACATACATCACACACCACCGCTCAACCGCACAAATCATACATGACAGAAGTAAATGAATATATCAATATTATGAGTAAGGCAGTCACTTTAACATGATCTGTGGTGATCAATTGGTATGGTACCATTGACAGATCATAGAGTGCACTTTTATGATCAGAAAGAAATGATTAAAAAAGCATACACATATTATTATGCCACACTATTGAAAAAATTGAAATTGAAAAAAATTGAGTATAGTGACTCTAATGAATATCAAAAAATGACAGCAGTCGTACAGTCATTGTAACTTAATTGAAAGTGATTTAAGCCATCTCGGTGGAGTTAGATGAGCTAAAAATCGATGGACAGATGGGATGCTTGATTGCCTTATCAGTCGAAATAGCATTGCGATGACTGGTAAGAAAGAAAATAGAACGGGAATATAGGAGAGAGTAGGGATGCAAAAGTCTCATGAATCTCGAGTATCATGCCTCAGATGCGAGCGTGCGTAGGTGTACACGTGCGTGTTTAAAGCATTGTAATCATGGGACATCGCTTGACGCTTTTTGACATGATGCAGTCAGAGGTCTATTGCAAAATTCTATTGTATTGACAACACTTCAGTGTACAAAGTTTTGATCTATGATCAGCTATTTGAAACTGCATTACCAAAAAGAAGACTGGATTTGGAACTTCTGCCTTTGCTGGAGGCTAGAGCATGAGCATATATCCTATTCTAAGAAATGATATCTGATTGTTTTTGCAAGATACTATTCATTAGTATCATCATCAGCTTGAATTAAGAAGAAACGCATGTGAAAGACAATTGATACAATTGAGACGCTCAACACATTTAATTTCTAAGCATTCCAATCGCTCTGATGAGCAAATCGCTTTCTACCAATGAGGTTCTTAAGGACAATTTCAGCAAAACGGCTGCATGAATAATATAAAGTATCTATCTCAGCATGCATATATCCGAACAGTAAGCAAAACCGACACATAACAATCATTACTTCCTGATGAGGCTATAGGGGTTACCGCATTCAAGCCTACCGTACTTTCAACATAGCCCAGTGAAAAATTGATGTTCATACACCATTCGATCCAGCAGAATCTCTACATTCAGAATGTTATAACATTTATTGTAAAATTAGGCCCTCTTGAGGAGATATAGCTACTTTCTTGATAATACCTCAAGGTTATAGTTGTGCTAACCAAGCTTACCATACTCTTAGCTTTGCTCAGTAACATATTGATGTTTATCCATCATTTGATCCAGCAGAATCTTTACATTAAGAATAAAATAACTTTTACTATGAAATTTGGCTTATTTGGGGAGATATATCTATCTTCTTGATACTACCTCAAGGTTATAGTTGTGCCATGTTCAAGCCCGTATAGATTTCTTCACACCTGAGGAGATATAGCAATTTTTTTAGATCTATTTCAATTAGCGCAGTCGCGCTCGTCAGTCATGTACATTGATCACTATAGAGCAGTCAGCGCGTTATTATAGCAATATGCTTGTTGCCATCTTCGAACCAACCGTCTTCTCAGGTTTGCCCGGAAACCTATGAAATTCTTCTCACCATTCGATCCAGCGGAATGTCTACATTCAGAATATCATATATTTTGCTGTGAAATTCGGCTTACTCAAGGAGATATACCTATTTTCTTTATACTACCTTAAGGCTATAGGGATGCCATGTTTAAGCCTACCGTACCTTCAAGTTTGCTCAGTAACATACGGATTTCTTTAAACCGTTCGATCGAGCGGAATGTCTACATTCAGAATATCATATATTTAACTGTGCAATTTGGCTTACATGAGGAGATATAGCTGTTTTCTTTTTCGCCTTCCAACAAATTTTCATTTTGAGAAGGATCGGTTACTAAATAAATGATCCTTATATTGTGATTGGGATGAAGGTCACTAAGCTGTCCTCTCATTCCCTATTCCAACAAATTCGTATTCTCTATTGCCCGTTTCTTTATCTGTTCTTCTCTCCTCTATCGTTCATGAAAAATCGTGGAGAAAACTATTGCAATTTTGCCTCGTTCATGTGGAAGTGGATTTGCAAGATGAATTCCAGTCGATTCAATGCCTTGATATGTAAGTGTATCTGAGATTTCGCAGAATATTACCAGGTGTTCTCTCATGACCTCGAATTGGTCTAATGTATGCTTGGACAGCTTAATTGCACATGATTTCAGCATTGGATATCACGCTTCAGGGCAATCTTACGTTCAAGATAGCAGTTCATAGCTGTGATACTTAGTGTCGTGGGGACATCAACGCTCTCACTGGCAAATGTTCGAACGAGTGAACTTGCTCCGCTGAACTCTAATTGTTTAATTCATCGAAGGTCTTCTCCAATCAGTTGATTCAATTCAGGCTTCATGTGTTTTCAGAGTGATGTAACAATAAGATTCTCCAATGATAACAAAACTTTCACTTCTAAGTATGTCATATAAATTGCCTGAGGACTATATATAGTTCTTCACATATAGGCAACTTTATGAAGGTATCTAATGTAAAAGATCAAATCCATTCTGCCGTCTGAATCAGTACATTTGACTGCAGTGTCAACCATTCATTAACTGATAATTAGGCTTCATTATTAATTTCAGCTGGAGTTGTATGAGATAGGAATTCAGTTCTGAGATGTTCACAGCCTATGGAAAGTTAACGTTCTTTACGGCAGCTATTTTATTGAAGCAGACTGGATCTCAATAGCATGATTTTGCATATCGCTTTTATGGGTTTACGGACAATTAATTTACTGCGCATATTCCAGATATTACTATGGAGTCACGCTGAAAAGCGGTTGTTTAAGAGAACAAATCAAGTACTTGATGGAATTGATCACAATCAATTGGTAGTGTGAAAGACTAGAATTTATAAATTTGTGTGATTTCTTAAGGTCTCTCAATATTTATGGATTAACTTCTGGGACAACATTGGGCTCAATATTCCTCTTTGACGAAACTAAAGGAAATTTTTACTTGCAGAAGATCAACAGCATGAGTGATCAAAGAACAACTCAGACGACCATTTAATTAACTCTCAATTAATCAACCCTTATCATTAGCTACATGTACGGAAATCGCCTGATTGAATTTTTCCTTCGGAAGGAATTATTCCTATAGTGCAGAAGAGTGCAGATTCTTCAACTTCCCACTACTAAGTTGACTGAATCACCTTCGGTTGCAAACAATCGTAAATCCACAATGTGTGCCAATGCAAAATCGGAATGCCTTACAAAAAGATTCCAACCACTTATATAAATAAACTGAAACAATTCAATTCTAAAGTTATTGCTGGCTGCGTTCTGCAAACGAATCTCTTTAAGTAGGTTCTCAACTGCTTCAAAGATCCAAATATAGATTTTGGTTCAAGCTCATATACAAATTGTTGTGTTTGACTGATGTGTAAACTGAGTTCGTTGTGTTTCTCGAACAACAAATACACAAAGAAACTCAGCATGTTGAAGATGATTTAATAAATACATAATTGCTTTCATAAAGCATTCTTTATTTTGCTTGCAATATTCATCTCCAGCAATATCTTCTTGGATTATTGAAACAAGAAACCATTATTGCGTCATCATCTCAAGAACCATTCTTGCATTAGAGAATCATATTTTCATTCAACTTATATCATCTCAATTGTTAATAGTGCAAAAGAACCTATTAACGTCTTGATGATCGATCCGAACGATTCTACAAAAGCTATTCAACTTACCTGAATTTTTCTCCATGAACAAGTGACAATTGATGTCCATAAATTACAATGTTACGAATGTTTTGATAAGTTTGTTTGCATTTAAATAAAGTTGATTCTGATTGGATTGGTAAACGAAGATTATTGACATCACAATAACAGTATTTGTACAACAGCTATTGTCATGAATAGAGATATTCACGAAAATTTTTGTGATTCACCTTCGTTATGTAATATTTATTCATTATCAAATCATTATATCTTATTTACGAATATATCATTATATCTTATGCAATATATAAACATATTGCACTTTGTAATATACACAACGTCATTCTTATAACATCATCTCATCTTATCACACCTTAATCGCACTTATATTTTTGATACGTAATTCTGTTCTGTTCATTGTTGATGTGTGTATCAGTAAATGCTACGTACTTATAAACGCTTTGTTCAACCACGGTATAAGTAAAAACCTCCTTCCACTATAGCTATGATATGATGAAATGTACAAAGGTTCTTATGAAATCCTGATTTGAATTACCACCCTACGATAGCGGATAGTAGTGTCATGATAGAGCAGTAGCAACGATCGAACCATGATCGTATAGGGAATACGTTTTGATAAAACTATTCATAAACATTATCAACGCCGAAATACTTGAAAAAGCTCCGTATGTGAAATGTGAAATGAAAATCACAAAATTTTTCATACTATATTTGAGAACATATCACTGCATTCAACTGATCTATCTTCACAGCGAGAGAACAACTGAACTCGATGCATTTTTGTGTGATTCTTCCAATTTTTGCCATATATTCACCGCCTCAGTCATATTTTGCGAATCGCTAACCCATAACCAACTCCTTCCAGCTAACAACTGCTCTTTGCCAGATTGGAACGACATAATATTGTCGAATACAACACCAATTTTATGACTCAAATGTCCTGTGATAAAGTAATCGTCAATCTGCAACAGCTGGGTAAAGAATTTGAACTGGAAAGCGAAGCCTCAGAAATTGATTAATTTCCAATAATCCTTCGATGTTGATACGTATTTTCAGAGGATTCCATCCTGTGTAATCCAAAAACATTAGAGCAATTTACGTGAATAACTAATAAACTTTTCTAAAACAATTATGAAGCGAGTACGAAAACACGGCTTCTCGATGTGAACATCCGTGTTTGTTTCGGAAATGTGAATATTCCTCTCACCCAAAAGAATTTCTCTCCAATTGATGCGTTCAACAAATTCACAGCAGTCCTTCGCGGCATCAAATAAAATATTCCACGGCAATACGGGTAGAAAAAATCAGGCGCATATTCTTCTTTCGTGACGCCCCTGCATTGAATTTGATACATTATTATTATGATCGTGCACCGAAAATTGTCAAATTTCCTGGATCATTCAGAGACAAATAACGTTAACTTCAATAATCCAACATTGAGTAACACTGTTACTCTAAATTAGTGGTGCTCAACCTCAACCCCCGTGCCCCCTATAACAGTAGTTTGTTTAAGAATGAAGAGCGACGGAAAGAATTATTTTTGAATTATTGTCTACCTTACACCTATGAATGCGTTGAACCCCGTCTTCGTCCACTTTAATGCATAAAAGGTGAGATCTTGTCTCGCACTCCCTTTCGCACTCCCTGGTGCGTCATACCGCACCCCCTGAGGGTGCAAACACCCTCGATTGAAAAATTATGCTCTAGATAATTCTTCATTTGCAATGTCTTTTTCATCAATACCGGGCTGAACTTCTAAGCGACAGAACGACTTACCATTTGCTTTTACTGTCTCTGATTGGTAGAAGGTGACTATCAGCAAACAAACTGCACAGCATCATGTTTACGTTCGAATTAGCCTCCTCAGCTACCGGTGATTTCTTTCTTAAATAACTCTCAATCGCTATCAAATCGAACACCACATCGTCGTCTATCTTCAAAATGAATTCCACTTCCTCGCAAAATTCATTCACATACTGCAGCCACGAGATCGCCTGAACAATGAACCATCTCTACATATTACACTTATGATCAGATCGCTGAAGAATTTTATTCATTTGACGATAATTCGCTTATATATGAAGCTGACTTTTTAATGCCGAATGTGAAATTGCTTTGACAATTTCGTGAGTCTTATTCCTTCCCATTCTGTGAGTCAAATTTCGTAGTGCTCACAATTTGTTCACTAGAAATTGATCACATATGTAGAACAACTGAATTTCTTTTCACTCACCTTCCAGGTTAAATTTCTGTACGTATCAATGAAATCCTGTTGAATGATATCATGATAAGTTTCACTTTCATTACGTATTTGCATTTGTTGTTCCTCATCCGATGGCATTCCAACAAAAAATAAACTCGCAACGCCCATCTACAAAACATCGCACATTCAACTATGACTTCGAATTGCGCGTTCTTTCATATTCAGCAGCTGAAGCGAGAGAAGTGACACCTACCGCATGAATCCATTGATTCTGCATGAAAACTTCGAAATACTACTTTCAAACTGTTTTGTTGAATAAAAAAGTGCGTAAATGCGACAAACAATAAGCAGAATGTGAATAAGTGTGCAGAGTTGACCTTTTCATAGAATCGTTTACCATACATCTTACGATGCGCTTGACGAGCGTGAAAATGTGGAATGGCTGTGTGTACAACGATGAGTGTTTTCACTTTTGGATAGCGCATCGAACAAAAATCTTTTTCGATTATGTTCCATTGAAAATTATGACTTTTTATGAACACGCCTCTCTGAAAAAAATATTCGCTGATTCTTCATGACATACATTATAATTTGTAATCGATCTCAACCTCAACTCGCAAACGCACTGAAAAGGCCAACCCACATATCGGTTGCTCATATTCAAAAACCCGTTGAACAGTAACGTGACAGCAGCAATTGTAATGAAGAATGGGACGCATCGAACCGACGTGCGACAAAAATGAGCCATAAACGGAGCAATCTGCAAAAAGTATTATGTGGAAGTTTAAGACAATAAAATTTTCGAATCAACTTCAAGTAGGACTTCTCGTAATTGCGGTCGCACTTTATTATTCTTTATAATCCTGAAAATGAACTGTCAACGTATTGCCTGAGAATTGGATTTAATTGATGCGATTTTTGAGTGAAATACACCCGAATCTGTTCTGTTCATTACTAGTATTCGGTCTGTTTTGAAATAAAAACATGCACAAAACTTACTTTCGATGGAATGACTTTTTGACAGCCGCAACGGCTAAATTCACTGACGAGTTTCGACGAATATCGTGACATCGTTGTCAATGACCATCAGTATTCCTAATAAATTCAACATATTCATACACACACACATAACAGTTTTGAAATTGATTTGCAATCAAAATTGTACGGCCTTCTATTGGTATATTCTGTGCTCAAGGAAATGTTTTTAAGACGATGGATCAAATTTGTTGAAATAATCAGCATTCAACGATCAAATCGAACTGTCAAAATTCACTGGCTTGTGTAGTTTTGTAACTGAGCCGTTGATCCATCATTTTCTTTGAGAAATAAGATGATATGCTCATAAAAATACATGATCCAGAAAGAACATAGAACTGTGATACTCGGAGAAGCTTACTCCACATTCATCTTCTACACTCTATGAAGAATACCTAAGCATGTGTTTCTCTGTTTGCGAATGCTGAGAACAGCTTTTAAAGGTGACTTCAAAGGAGTCAACTGCAATGTTCAAATCATTTTCGAAATGATCACATCAGAGCTGCTCATTTCCACTCAGATGGCAAAGCATATATCCGTTGTAATCATGATCCATAAACAAGGCGTTCGGAAATTACAAATTGCGATCATTCTTCGAGTATTCTCAATCTGAGGACATTCTGAGCCAGTTTGCTTTTCAAATTAGGTATCTCTTAGCCTAACAACTGTTTCAGGTAAAGCAGTCGTTGAATCGGGCTGAGTGAAAATAAGTTCGACAGGCAGTGCCAAAGATTCATTATTTGGCCGCTCAATATTTGGCCAAGATTACTTTTTAACAATAATTTCAGTAGAATTTTGATCGTTCAATTTGCAAGATAGATTCTTTTTGAAGAATGCAAAAGAACAACGTTCAGAAGCAATACGTATGGACTAGGGTTTGCACGGGATCCCGGGATTTCAGTTCTGATCCCGATCCCGGGATTTAATTTTTGAAAAATCCTGGGATTTCGGGATTTGATAAAACAGTTCAATTTGCTTGAATTTTGATAGTATGCTCATCTTGGAGCAAGCCTTAATAATTTCCATCTCATTCATATACAGTTATTTTTGCTGTATGCCCTCCATCATTGATGAACAGCTGAGGAAATAGACGCAAATTGGACGAATGACATGATCAACGACAGCTCGATGAACTTTTACGTAATATTTCATTGAATATTGAACTGATTATTCTGCTCTTCATTGGTTTATATCACCCTCATCTGAATGCATTTTTATGTAATAGACTAACAGAGATAATCACATTTTCTAATAAAAACCAAGAACAACAAAGTTCAATGAAATTTTGAGTCGTTTCTTCCCACAAGATTTATTCGGCTTCAATATTGCATGTGTTAATTCAACTGCATGTTCTAAAGACTGCAAGTCTTTTTACTTCGCTATTTGGAAACACTTTCATTCGATCGAAATGTACATTAATTCTCACTGAGTTCACTCATAGTGAGAATTCACTGTCGAAGGGAGAAAAATTGTTCCATTCAAAAGTATCTTAAGCTTAACCATCAAGTACATTTCCATTTTCGAAATATTTTCGAAATTATCAAATATGTAAGTGCTTGATGGTTCGATGAAAATCCATTGCGGATTTTTTTTTCACTTTTTAGATAAATTCTGAACTTTTAATTTTTCAAAATTCAAATGATATAATTTACGCGATGCATTTCTTTCGTAAAAAATTGAAATTTCTGAAATGGCAGAATTCACTTGACGTTAACGCTGCGAGAAAATGGACTTGAAGTACTGCAAATAAGTGTTTAAGAATCAAGAATTTCATATTCACATGCAAGTGTGCTGTTGTTAGCTTAGACCCGAGACGACAAGATGCCTTAGCATATAAAATGCAGTATGCCCTTACGACATGATCATTAGCAACATTATATGAAATATAGTAAGGACGTTTTGTGTGGAAATATCGGCGTCATTACAAAACAATTGCGAATGCCGTTCTTTTGCCGTCACATCTCAAGTTCTTAGGGATTATAACAACGGCAGTGATTTTCAGTTGCCGTCTCATCATGCTTTTCAATACCTCTCGCATCAATCCACGTTTCAATCTGCTCTCAATCAGGTGTGCGCTCAACGGAATTTGTGTGGTGAACACGACTGGTTCGTCACCGTATTACTAAGTGCTGAAAGGTAGAAACAAGGCGAAAACAATGCAGTCTTGCATTCAGACGAACAGCTCCTATTACAAACGATATGGCGGTAATAATTCGGAAGGTTGAATCACTGTGACCATAAGTACTTACAATTAGGCGACTGAGCGATGGGCTGGGCTGGGCCGCTACTGCTGCGAGTAGCTAAACGTAGCTAAAATATGAAGCTACCACCAGCGAAATAGCCGGATCGTCGAGGCAACGTTCCGGGCTGTGTTGAGTGCTGAGAGAAGTGAAGCGTCTCCTGTTAGTTTGAAATGGAGCCATTTATGCTCTAATGGTATGTACACGATGAAGTTTGAAACATGTCACTATGATACAATAATGAAACTTGTCAAACGCCATCATCTACCTACTAGGCAAACAAACGGCAAACAAACAGCCGATAAGATGGTAAGTTCACTGAAAATGGATGACTGACTGATAAAAATAATATCGACATTGATTGATTATGTAATTTTAAGAAAAATATCAATAGTCAATATCCTGATTGTTTTGGATGGATATATTGAGTAAAGGGTGGATAGTGTTTGAGAATCAATTAGTGGATATTTAAGGATAACGAATATAAACCTTATTTTCGATATTCATTGACAATTAATTTATGGATAGTGGTAAATGATTGGTCTGTGGATGATTGATATGATTACTGGATATTTGAGGACAACTGATTATGGATCAGTGGATATTTTTGGACAGTCATAGCAATCATTTATGGGCTTTGATTATGGAAGCTCATGGATAACTGAAAATGGAAAGTTTGATAGTTTTTATGGTTGATAAGTTTGTGTTTGATTAGGTTGTGTTTGGTTAGGTTGTGTTTGGTTGTTTCGTGTTGGATTATGACTGATCAGTTTGTATTGGATTTTATTTTTGGATTAGTTGTTTGATTAGTTCATGTCGATAAGTTTATGGTGGATTGTTCAAAAGCATACAAAAGTACATATTCTTCACATCGTGGCAATCCTCAATTCTCTAGCGTCACAAAAGCGCACATATTGAAGGCAATACGGCAATATGTACGCTTTTGTGAAGCTAGAGAATTGAGGAATGCAACGATGTGAAGAAACAGCCATGTTACTGTGCAAACCTGAGGACACGGTTAGTTTGAAGATACTGACCCTCATACTACCATAGTATCGTACAGATTATCAATTCTTGAGCGATTGAAAATTTACTTCTTGCAGAAACAATATAAACCTCGACAATCAAAAATGAAAAGCAATGAGAAAAAAAAAATAATTCAGCGATTAAAAAAGTGAAATTTGACAACAACTTCAGTCACTCATGAAGAAGGAAGATGCAATAAACATTTG